TATTTGCGTAAATAAAAAAATTCAGTATACTTTGCACGGAATAGCAATTGGTTCGGTAATGGAAATCTCAGGCAATATATTTGATTTGTGATCTGGTTTGTTGACCAAATAAAAAATAAAATTTATTTGTAATTTGATTTGTCAACCAAATAAGAAATACATTTTATTTGTGATTTGTTTGGTCAAGTAAATAAAAGATAAGTTTTATTTGTGATTTGATTCGTCAAGCAAATAAGAAATAAAATATATTTGTGATTTGCTTGGTCAACGAAATAAGGAATCAAATTTATTTGTGATTTGATTCGTCGACCAAATAAAAAATAAAATTTATTTGTGATTTGAATCGCCTCCAAATCAGAAATCAAATTGATTTGTGATTTGATTTGTAGAGCGAATCAATTGGATTCGTGATTTTTTAGCTAAATATTACTTTTTTATGCAACATAAATGCGATATTCAAGTATCTTCCAACTTCGAGTTCCACGAAAATCTTAGGGATTTTCGGGACTACTTCGAGATTTTCGGGGTTCTCGGGGCTACTTGGGGATTTTTGGGACTAATTCGGAGTTTTTGGAACTCCTTCGGGTTTTTCGAGACTCCTTCAGGTTTTTCAGGATTTTGGGACTAATTCGGTATTGTTGGGACTATTTCGGTTTTCTAGACTACTTCGAGATTTTCGGGGTTCTCGGGATCTTTGGGAACAGTTCGGAGTTTTTGGGACTATTTCGGGTTTTTCGAAACTATTTCGAGATTTTCGCGATTCTCGAGAAATATCGGGATCTTCGGGATTATTTCGAGATTGTTGGACTATTTCGAGATTTCTTTGTGACCATTCTAGGTTTTTCGAGACTACTTCGAGATTTACGGGGATCTCGGGACTATATTGGGATCTTCGGGATTACGTCAGGATTACGTCGGAATTTTCGGGACTATTTCGAGTTTTTCGAGACTACTTCGAGATTTTCAGGATTTTTGCGACTAGTTCGGAAGTTTTGGGACAACTTCGAGATTTTCGGTGTTCTCGGGAATATATCGGTATTTTTGGGACTAATTCGAGTTTTTTGAGACTACTTCGAGATTTTCAATGTTCTTGGGAATATACTGGGATTTTTGGGACTATTTCGATACTTTTGGACTATTTCGGGATTTTCGAGATTTCTTCGGGATTTTCAGGACTATGTCGGGATTTCTTCTTCTCGAAGAAGTCTCGAGAAACTCGAAATAGTGCCAAAAACATCGAATTAGTACCGCTTATACCGAAGAAGTCTCGAAAATCCTGAAATAGTCGAAAAATTCCGAGGTAGTCCCGTAGATCTCGATTTAGAGCCGAGAATCCCGAGAATCTCTTAAAACCCGAAATAGTTTCAAAAATTCCGAATTTGTTCCAACAATCCCGAAGTAGTCCCACAAATCCTGGTATATTCCCGAGAAAAACGAAAATATCGAAGTTGTCCCAAAAATTCTGAAATAGTCCGAAAAATCCTGAAAATCTCGAAGTAGTCTCGAAAAACCCGAAATAGTTCCAAAAATTCCCAAAAACCTCGAAGTAGTCCTGAAGATCCCGATATATTCACGAGAACCCCGAAAATCTCGAAGTAATCTTGAAAAACCCGAAATAGTCCCAAAAATCCCGATATATTCCCGAGAACCTCAAAACCCTCGGAAGTAGTCTCGAAAAACCCGAAATGGGGACTCCTAATTGGTCCAAAAAATACCGAAGTAGTCCCAAAGATCCCGATATAGTCCCGAGAGCCTCGAAAAACCCGGAGTAGTCCTGAATAATCCCGAAGAAATCTCGAAATAGTCCAGCAATCCCGAAATAGTCCCGAAAATTCCGAAATAGTCCCAAAAATCCTTAAAATCTCAAAGTAGTGTTGAAAAACTCGAAATAATCCCAAAAAACCCAAAGCTGTCCCGAAGATCCCGATGTCGTACAGAGACTCCTCAAAATCTCGAAGTAGTTTCGAAAGACCCGGAATAGTCTCGAGAATTCCGAGAAAATCTCCAAAATCCAGAAATTGAATAAATTAGCTTTAATATTTACTGATTTGTCGAAGATTTTGTATTTCTCTAAATTACCGTTATATGGGATATGGGCGTGGTTATTGTCCGATTTTTAAAATTTTCGGCCATTTAGTATGCTGCACCAAGGCCAACAACCGTGCCAAGTTTGGAAGTAATTGGTGCAGCGGTTACCAAGATATACACATGTAACCATAAGTGGGCGTGGCTACGCCCATTTTCCAAAAATTTATAATATTCTTATTTTTTGTCTAAAAATTGTTGTAAATATCAATTTTGAGTGAATAATCTTCAGTAGTTACTAAAATATAGCAGTTTTCGTATTTCTGGAAATTACCGTTATATGGGAAGTGGGCGTGGTTAGAGTCCGATTTCGCCCATTTTCAATACCAGATTACCTTGGATTAACGGAAACCTACATAAAAAATTTCGTTGAGATATCTCAATTTTTTCTCGAGTTATCGTGTACACGGACGGACGGACAGACGGACGGACAGACAGACATGGCTTAATCGATTTCTCTATTCATTCTGAGCATTTATGTATACATTTGTGTATATCTATCTCGATTCGTTTTGGCTGTTACAAACAACCGTTATGTGAACAAAATTAATATACCCTTGTGCACAAGTGCGCTCGGGTATAAAAGGAGCCAAAATTTTCTAAGCAAAGAGAAAGTAAAAAGAGCATTTGGCTCAAAGAGCCACGTTTGCCAACGGTGGGCAAACCAAAAAAATATAGGTACTCAAATTTTTTTATTTTGAAATCAAAAAATATTTAGAGGTTGCTCAAAGCGCTCAAAGTTTTCCATGTATTTTATATGGGGAAACCCCTACTTTTCGTAGAAATGGTATAGACTTCTTGAAAACCAAATCAAAGTTTTCCATGTATTTTATATGAGAAAAACCCTACTTTTCGTAGAAATACTCTTCTTGAAAATAAATAGTTTTCAGACGGAAAACTGTTTCTCTTCAGCAGGTTCACAAAAATCATACCCAATTATTTATTTCACCATTTTTTCATAGTAACCATATTTTATAGCTCCGCCAAAACCCCCAGAAAATGCAATCGGGGATATATAAAAAATCTTTAGTATTAAAAAATGGTTAAATAAACAGTTGGGTGATGTTATTGGAAGTCTCCTGAAGAAACGAAAAGTTGTTTTTTCCCATATAAAATACATGGACAACTGTGAGCGCTTTGAGCGACCTCTAAATATTTTTGGATGTCAAAATAAAAAATAGGGGTAGACTTTTATCGATATAAAACAATCCTAGGGGTGAGAGCATTAAAATTCCGACTTTACTTATTGTGGACCACCCTAATTTACATATGTATATTATTAACCAATTTGCTTCTGATTCTGATCTGAAAAAGTAACATTCTGAACGTTCCTAATAATCCTTAATATAGAAATTAGGGCCTTTCTCATAGTCGCTGAAATACAAAAAAGCCGTAACTGACTAAAATTTCTTATAGCTTAAAATGATGTGGGGACTTATAATTCGATGAAATGCATCATAATAAATCAAAAAGGGAATTTTGGATTTTTACTTAGTTGCGGCTTTATGTATTTCAGCGACGATGTGAGATAGGGCCTTTCTATATTAAGGTAACGATATGTATTAGCGTATATTTCAAACGCATTCTATTAATTCTGTGTGATGGGGATGTCTGGAATATATAAAGAAATGCAACCCAAATATCCAGTCTGATTAAAATTTTCTTCATCCTTCACGACGAAATAAAACTCATGTACATAACGTAACGTTATTTCTTTTAACAAAAAAAGAAGTGGTTTCAACTAATCTACCACAACATATGTAGTTTGTTCCAATAGCACTCCGGTTTACACGATTTAGTCAGAATTTACAGGAAGTCGTTCCTATTGACATAAAACCTGTAAGTGGGAACACTTTTGAGAGAGTAACTGAGTAACTGTTCCTAGTCAGAAGTTACAGGATTTAGTCCGGAGTTTTTTTCCTGTAAGTTCATGAAAATTGTAAAACGATCAGCTGATTTGCATGTGCAAACAAAAACAGAAAGCGGTGTGAGCAAAGAACCTTATATTTGTAAAAAAAAATGGAAGTAAACAACGAAATATTTGAATATGTATAGATTTTAATAATTAGTTAGTGATATTTCAGCCAAATCAGTGTTGTACAAATGACATGTAAACAAGCCGACTGACGTTTTTACAGGAAATAGTGCTTTTTGCGTTCCCGTGCACTTCTGCATCTGTTCTCCTTTTACTCTCACTTGAGAGAGTAAAATTGTAGTTTGATAGTTCCACAGGTTTTAGTCCGAAGTTCAAAGGAACAGACTAATGAAATAACTAAACACATTAGGGGTGGTACTCACGGTCCGGTGCCTACTGTCTAGCATGGTGCATAGATAGCATAAATAACATGAACACAATAGGGGTATTCTCGAAGTCTTGCACGATGCACGGATTGCACGAAATGCAAAAATACTATTTCAAATTTCGAACAGTACGAGAGCACCCCACTGCAAAGTGGTAGCATGCATGGGTAGCAAGCAGCAAAATTATGTATCAAATACAATAACAAGAGACAGCAAAACAAAAAAAAATGGAGTGAGCCAGATGAGAGGAATGAGAGAAATATGTAGCAATTCCAACAACAAAACAACTAGCACAGGGTCGCATTTATCTATTTTGCAAAATATATACATGGGTTTCGACGTTGCGTATTTTGCAGCGATAGGAAATGTTGTTTCCCATGTATTTTGTTGTTGTGTGTTTGCGAGTTATGCCATCCATGCAATCCGTGCTACGTGCAATGGCTTTGCCAGGTTTGGAGAATACCCCTATTGAACAACAACAATCATGCTATTTAGGCTATCTATGGACCATGTTAGACAGTATGCACCGGATCGTGAATACCCCTATTGCATTCACTTGTTCATACCTATTAACGTTAAAAACTTCCAGATTGATTCACATCGACGGTGTCACGTTAGTTGGCTCTCGAGTGGGAAAACTACTTACATTTAATATGCATATTTAATTGATTTCGTTTTAAATGTTTTTACAATGAATTGTATTAATACATAAATGAAAATTTTCGATAGTGCGCAAGGAAGGTTCTCAAAGATTCGTAACAGCATCGCCGCTTTCTCCTCTGGTCGCCGCGATGGCAGCTGCAGCAGCAGCTGCACTACCCGAGTAACTTTTCATATTGATTTCCATGGTTGTGAGTGCGCTGGATACATGGTACAAGTTCTCCGATAGTATTGCATAAACCTCGAATAGCTCAGAATCGGATTTTGAAACGATAAATGCCTCTGAAATATAGACATACGAATATGAAATATTAGTTTCAGGCAAAGTATTTTGAAATCATATAATGTTTTATATGTAGATCTGAACATGATACAAAAATTTAAAATACTTATACCACTTATTCTTGTATCACGGATCTGAAAAACCAGATTTCCATGAAATATACATTAGGGTGATTCAAAATTGGAACCTTTTTGAATTTCGACTGGGAACGTTCGGATTCTTGAAAATAATAGGGAAGACCACTTCCTTCTAAAATTTCAGCTTATGTGAACAAGATTCAGAGGTCACTCAACGCTGTTGTTTGTTTTCCGGAAACTGCAGATTTTAAATGCATCTTTATAAAAAAAAATAGGTATATTTTCATCAAATCTTGACGGATTTCGTTGAAATTTCGTAGGTAGGTTCCCAAATATCAGTTTAGTAGAACACAGTTTATATTAGTTTGATAAGTTAGTTTTAAATACATATATTAATTAGTTAGTAACTAAGTTTTTCCTTATAAAAAATGAATATTTGCAATAATTTTTTTTGTTCCTTAATCAGTGAGCATATGCTTAATACATCTAAGATCACATTATAATTCATACCAATAGTGGACCTCATCATTAAATATTACTAATCATCAAATAAAAAAAAATCACCAGATAAACATCACTCATACGCCATGTTGAATCCAAGTGTTTTCCTAGTCATTGCAAATATTAATAGTATAATAACAATATTTTGGCGCATGCACCTTTCCCAAGTGTTTGGCTGAGCTTCTCCTTCAATTTGTGGTGTGGGTCTTGATGTTGTGACAAAAAAGCCACGGACCTACAGCTTTACGCCGCTTCCGAACAGAAATGGCTTTTGTGAGAAGCTTTTTTACGACAGAAATACACACGGAGGCAGTGTTGGGAGTTAATCAATTAATTTTTCTATCATATCACTAATACCCAAAGAGCAGACAATGATTTCGATGAGTTTTTCAAGCCCTTGTGTTTATTTCAGATATAATAATGACATAAAACTATTACACACGGTGCAAGTGTCTTCCCTATTATTTTCAAGAATCCGAACGTTCCCAGTCGAAATTCAAAAAAGTTCAAATTTTGAATCACCCTAATATACATATGTACATATAAAGCATATACAGCTACGACCATCGAAAAATTTTTGTAATCTTACGCACTTCAAAAAAAGTGAGAATCACTTTTTGATTATTAAAAACTAATAATCACTAAAAAATAGTGAGCAAACATTCTTGGATCCAACAACGTCGACGTTTAAAACCTGGCATTTTAAAAATAGAACGTATAAAATTTACAGCGATAGTAGAAAGTAGACAGTAATGCTCTACTGTTGCTGCACTTAAGGCATTGGCCAGCCCTCTAACTACTTCCAAACTAGTTCGGCAATGCAAGTCTCAAATACAACATAACGATACAACTTTACTCGCTTTACTTGGGTCACTCGGGAGTACCTGGTAATAAGACATCTGACCATTTGGCCAGAGTTGGATTATACCAGGCATTCCGCGGTCCAGTAATACCACTCTCCATTTCGGCCGTCGGAGCCGCCATCAAAAACTGGGTGAATAATGCGCTCAGCAATAACTGGGAGGCATCGAGGGGCTGCAGGTTGGCAAAACTCATGTTCCCTTCAATCTCAGAAGGTCTATCTAGTTCCACTGATCAGACGGAACTGCGGAAAACTTTTTAGACTGCCGACTGGTCACTTCACGTCGCACAAACACCTGACTGTGATAGGCGTACATGACAACTCCATTTTCCCATCCTACCTTGAAGAGGATGATACGGTGGAACACTTTTTGTGCTTCTGTCCGCCTTTGCAAGAATTAGGTACGAGACATTTGGCCGCGATATGTTGAGAGACGAACACCTGAATTCTTTTATACCCAACAATCTGCTAAACCTAAGCAAATCGTAAATCGTGTAGATTTACAACAAATTAAATAGGACATGAAAATAGTACATTGGACGGCATGTTGTCTGAGTGTTGTTTACTGCACGCGTTGTTTGTGCCTGGCTCCGACATAAAAGAAGGTTAAGATGAAGGTGAAAATAAAATAATGTAAAAAAATATTTTTTAAAAACAAGCTTTTGTTTAACATGTACAATCAAAGGAATAAAATAAAGTAGTGTAACAAAAGATTGTTTAGCAAGAAAATTTTGTTAAAAATGTTAACTAACTAAGTTAAGCTTACGTTAAAGTTACTAAAAGCCAAATAGTTAAAGGAGCTACTCAAACTCTAATGAAAATTATTAACAATTTGTACAAATTTACTTCGTTTTTAAAAAAGTTTGTCGGCGAAACTTAACTTATTTTATTTTATTCATTTTAGTGCAATTTTGACAAATTTTTCTTGCTAAAAAAATCTTTTGCTACACTACTTTATTTTATTCCTTTGATTGTACATGTTACCATGGCAAACGAATATGCAGCATTATCCACATCGCCTTAACAGTATTCAGAAGAAACACATCGTACTCAGGACTGCCAACTTGGCTCAAACCGTGCCATTTTTGGCCGTATTTTACTTCAAATTGCACTCAATTTTTCAATTTGGCACAAACTGCCAAATTGGCACTTTTGAAAAATAGTAATACTTCAATACATTTTTGGGAAATCCTTTGCGTGTACTTCGTTTTGTCAACTAAAATTTTCTAATTTCTATAGTGTATACAACTGGTTTATCTTACTTTGCATTGGTTTTTTGTTTTAGGAATGTGGTTGTAATTTTAATGCTAAATGAGAAGAAAAAAAAAGAATGACACATTTTTTGGCACTTTTATTTTTCTATTTGGCACATTTTGGTACTGTTTTATGCTCAATATGGCACCTTATAGCTAAGTATAGTTGACAGCCCTGATTGTACTAACTGAAATTTTTTCGCCTGCGCGATAGTAGAGGTACCTATGTATGTACACTTTTAAGATGCATGTATGTGAATTATGCATGGCTTTTATTGTATCTCTGTATTTCACTAACTCCCTGTGTGAGGAAACCAAATAATAGTTGTGTTTTTTTTACAAATTATCCAGTAACTTGCCAGCAACTCTCCAGTAACTTTATTTCTAAGAATTCGCTCTCATAGAAAAAATTTGCAATAAAGTATGCGAACGCTTTTCCAGTAATAATTTGCAAGTTTCATGAACAGCTGATAAATTGGTTGTTTATTCGCAGCAAATTCCTAATAAAACAAAATATTTTGTATTTAAATAGGTTTATTTTGTGAAATTCAACAATAAAAACCCACAAACAGTTTCCTTATTAGTTTAAATTTCATCCAGCAACATGCGAACAGCTGTTTTTCGTACTGGCAAATTCTTACAAGTAAAAATTTATCCAGTAAAATCCAGTAAAAACTTGCAACTTCAACAGTCATTTTTCGCTCTCTCCATTTCCCCTACTTTGCAAGTTTTTGCGTACGAAAACGCCAAAACATGAAAATTCGTAAAAACTTTTACTGGATTTTTACTGGGGGGAAAAAAACGCAACTAATGTAATTCTTAACAGAAGTGCCTAAAACTTAACAGTTTGGAATGTTAAACACTGTTGAAGGTAATTTCCGGATTTCTCTTACTAGCGCCTGAAACTATACTTCTTATCTACTACCGCCGGCAGTACGCCCTGTTAGCCATAAATTTTACTATGTTTTGGCCGTCTTTGTATCAAGACCCCTGGACCATCTAGGGAATTCATTTACATTTTAGATTGCATTGTCATCGTGATTGGAACAATGCTGAAAATTTCAAGCCTCTACCTTGTCGGGAAGTTAGTTTAAAATCGTTTGGAGATTTCCGCGGGATTACCATGTTAAATAAAAGTTTGTAATAAAGACTAGTATTAAGATTAGGACCATGATTTAGTTCAATATTACGGTTCAGATTAAGATTAAAATAAAAATTAAGATTAGATTATGATTAAAATTAAGATAAATAGCCTCATTGCGAGAGTCGTGTCGAATGCAAGTCGTTTTTTGAGAGTTGAATCGTCTCGAAAATTTCATGTCATTGCCTAATTAAATCGGAAAAACTTGGCAGCACTGCATAGTTTTCGACGATTTTCTTCGTTTACTTATCTCAGCACGACAGTAGACAATGCCAATGTTGTAGAGTCGTACAATTTAGTCTAATTTACGACTTACGCAATGAGGCTGAAAATTTAGGATCAAGATTGATATTAATATTAAACTTAAGATTAATACATTAAGGTTAAGATTAAGACGAATATGAAGATTAAGTTTAAGATTATTATTAAGATTGAGATTAAGATAACGATTAAAATTAAAATTCGATTATGATTAAGGTTAAGACTGAGATTACATTCAGGATCAAGATTAATATTAAGGCTAAAATTAAGATTATATTTAGAATTAAGATTAGTATTAAGGCTAAGATTAAGATTGAAATAAAGTATAATACTGAAATATAATTTACGATTAAAGTTAAGATTGAGATTAAGAAAAAAGTACGGGTACAAAAAAGCATTTTTCCTGTAAAAACGTCAACCAGTGATCGCTTGACACTTTTCATGATTTTACCAGAAGAAAAAGTTCGGGTAAAATCTTGCAACTTCATTCTCTACACAACTCTCGAAATATCGCTCTCATTTACAGGATTTTGGAGGAATTCGGAGTACGGGATCATTTTTCGTGTAACTTCCTGCAAGTTTGTGTAAAAACCTGTAAGTTCATGGAGTACTGGATCAGAGATATTATCTGAAACATGTCAACTATAATTAAATTATTTTCTTTTTCATTTTTACAGTACAGTTTAAGGAAGTTCCAACGTTATGTAAAAACCTTAAGCAAATCCGAAAGTATTTTGTTTGAATTGAAAATTCAGTGCAAATCAGTAAAAATTTTTAAAAATCAGGACATTAGTGTACTGATTGAAGAAATGAATAAAATCAATACAAGGGCTAAAAAATCAGTACTGTACTGATAAAATCAGTTCGTCTGGCAACCGTACTCGGGAAGTAGGAGGATGACGGG